AGAGTGACTTGGAGGTCTGCAAAAGAGACTGCACTCATCTGTTCTAGCAGGTGAGACCCCAGAAAGGGCTTTCCAGGCTGTAGCCCAGGCAGCTGTGAGCGGGATGGAACCAGGAGGCTGTTGGCACAGTTCGTGGTGAGGAGAAAGGGAAGAAGCGGTGTGGAGGAAGCAGCAGGCACAGGATTGGCCTGGTTGCTGAGGAGGCCAGGGTGTGAATGAGGAAGTGGACAGCTGGGAAAGTTTGCCTCTGTGGAAAGGGGAGAGAGGGAAGGAGATGGACGTGCTCAGGTCACTGGGTGCAGCCTCAGCTCTGAGCCTCCTAAGAGTCCAGGAGCTGGGATTGGCCAAGGTCCCTTCAAGGCCCATGAGACTTCTTAGGGCATAGGTCCTGGCTCAAGGATGGGGTCCTTGATCTTCTGAGGTTGTGTCAGTGAACCAGATACTTGCAGACACAATTGTACTGAGTGATCAGAGACCTGGAGTCTGGGGGAGCCCCATGGAGACCCCAAACCATCCTGAAGTACGAGAGGAGGTCCACAGTAAAGAGAGAGAATTATGTGCCCTATGCCCTTTGAGGGAAAGGTAGGCAAATGGCCAGACAGAAACGGTGACCTAGGTGAAAGGAGCAGTGTGTGAGCATAGTCCTTACGTTCACATGTGTTGGACAGGGCTGAGTCAAGGAGGGCTGGAATGGGGGCAGCGGAAGTCCAGGACCAGCCTCCAGCGCTCCGCTGTGTTCCCTGCCGGAGGTGGGGGAGAAAGAGGGATCCCAAGGGAGGCAGGGCGGCTGGAGTAGGAGGCTGGGGAATGGCTTTCTGGCCAGCCTGTGTGGCCACAAATAGGCTGCAAAAGCACCAGCTGTGCTGGTGATGTGTGGCAGTGCCTCTCTCTTACTGAACTATCAGTGAGCCTGGAGGAGGTCAGAGGGAAAGCTGAGGTGAACTGAACAACTCAATAACTCAAGGTCACAAACATGACGGTTGAGCAGGGACTCCCACAGGGTTTGCCTGGCTCTGAACCCTTGTGGCTTAGTTGTAGTGAATATAAATATAGTTTGTTTGTTTGTAACACATCCTCTTTGTGCCTATTGTCTTGACCTGGTTATTTCTTTTAACTCAGAAATGTGTCCACATTTCTGATTCTCTGTTTAATGATGCCCATTCCTTTTTTGTGTTTTGCTTTTGAGAAGGTCTTGCTGTGTAGTTCAGGCTGGCCTTGAGCTAGCAGCAATCTTTCTGCCTCAGCCTCCTGAGTGTTGGGGTTATAGGTGTATACCGCCATAGCTGACTCTGTTACCCATTCTGATCTGGGACCCTCATATGTCCCCAGCCCCATGTATACATAAAGTCAGCTGAGTATTTTCCCTTATCTAGTAACTCAGACTTCTCAGGCTGCGGGCTCCAGCCCAGTGTGCCCAGCCCTGCGCAGGCATCACAGGGAAAGCCGACGGGCTCATGTGTCTCTTGGCCAAAGGACAAAGGGCTCATTGCTGCTTTTTCTTTTGGCTGAAGATCAAGTGCAGAGGAGAAGGTGCTGAGGGAGCAGGGGAGCCAGATGTCTGGGGCGTGGGGAGTAGCTCTGCTGCCATGGAGAGGTCCATTGAGCTGCGTTGGAGGACAGGTGGGATTCTGAGTGTGGAGATGGCTGGGAGAGCGCACCGGGAGGGGGAAACAAGTGTAAACAAAGGCTTGAGGTGGGACCTTTGCACTTTTGCTCAGGGATGGGCCTGGGCCAGGGGGCAGCATCCAGCTGGCCTCATTTGGACTGGACTGGAGCTGGCACTGTCCTAAGAGATGGACACTGAAGGCTGCAGGAGGGGCACCCCACAGGCTCTGTTCTCGGTAGGACGACACTGCCCCTTCTCTTGGGGTTTTCCCACATGATGTGCCTTCCGGACCACTTCTCCTTTCCTGGGCCCAGCCCTGACTCAGCAGGCCCTGATTTCCCTGCCATGAGCAGGCAGGCAGGGATAGCTAGGAAGCTCCCTGGAGGAGGCAGCCAGTGTAGGGGCTGGAGGCTCACAAGGGCCTCCTTTTTTCCCCTCCCTGGGGAAGCTCTGTTGGGAGAGAAGCCTTTGCCTCCGCTCCCCCTGCCTTCTTGCTGTAGTCACAGTGGTGGCCATCAGACTGGCGACCTTGTTCCCCTTGGACAGAGCTGTGGTACAAGACTGCTAGGATTCAAGTTCCAGCTATAGGAGCAAGGATAGATTACTTAGCATCTCTGTGCCTTAGTTTTCTCTTCTATAAAGTGGGACAATGGTCTTGCCTTACAGAGCCCTTGTAATAAATAAATCCATGTGAAGCATTTAGAGAGAATTTAGGGGCATTACATATGTTGACACACACACAATTAATCAGAATGAATTAATCCAAAAATTCATTCATTTATGGAAGCCCCTGCTAGGGATTGGAGAGTGAAAGATGTGGGAACCCAACTGTAGGGTGATAGGCTTCAGGGTTAGTAGACCCCTTGCCTATGGTTAGGGCAGTGGTGTAGGGGCCTGGGTGCCTGAGGAAGTTGGGCTGATGCTGCTTGGACCCCAGGGATGAAGAGCAGGTGGGTAGTCTGGCTCTGTTACCTCCATCTTCCTTTCAGCCCTGGTCCAGACCTGGGGTAGTGTGGGGGGCCAGGCCCATTGTGCTCTGCATGGCATTGGAGGGAGGGAGCCTTTCTCCACCTGCTGTGGACCAGTCCACCTGGCTCTGGCCCCATAGCTTGTAGTTCTGCGCCAAGCTGACCATGGGCCAGGCCTCCACTGCTGCTGTCTCCTGTGTCCTGGAAGGCAGCAGTGTGATGGATGAGTTTGCCTGTCAGGATGTCTCTGAAGACACGGCCCCAGCAGGGGCCAACCCCTTGGTCACACTCTCGGGTTGGTGGGCACTCACTTGAGCATTTGGTCATCATTCACCCTTTCATTTGCTTCTCTCCAACCCTAATGGTCAATTAGTTGCCTACCCACAGAGCAGTTACCTGTCCATCCACTCACCTGTCCAACGGTCTCTTGTGTGGACACAGCCGGGCCCTGCCCTGGCCTGAGATGGCAAATCAGATGCTGCCCCTGCCCTAAAGGCACACAGGGTAGAATGGGGGAGACAGCCTGGTACAGTGCCTACCAGATCTTCCTAGGTCTGTCAAGATCACCATGGGGCCTTTGGCATCAGATTCCTGAGGGACAGAGGGGTAGGGAGTTCTTTGCCACTGGGGCAACAGAATGTCTTCCCTGCGCAGTGATGTGCAACAGGCCACATGGCTGTGCTGGAGCCAGTCTCCATGGCCCTCCAGGTGACAGCTCTGAGGGCCTGAGGATCAGAGTAGACAGGTTGTTCACAGGAACCCATTAAGGCCTAAAAAGCTCTTGTCCCAGATGGACCATTGTCTTTTAATAACCCTACAAGTGTGGCTTCAGGTCCCTGCCTGGAATGTGGCTGTTTACAAGTCACCACACTTGGGGCAGCTGACAGTTTCTCCTGGTCCCAATAAAGTTCCCACGCAGGCCGCTGTTGCCAAGGCCGTGCTTCCTGGAAACATGGCTTCCAGGCCACCCAAGCTTTTGTCCAGGAAGAGCTGAAAGCCATCAGCAGGCCAGACTCCACCCAGAAGGGGAGAGGGCCACGTTCCTTTTGGCGGCAGTGCTAGTGATTTGGCATTAGCACGAGTGCCAGAAGCACAGAGGTGTTGGAGCCAGGTTCAGATCCCAGCTTAGATGCTAGCACAGTACGCCGCAGGAGGGAAGAGACTTTGGCAAGTGTCAGGATGATTTGTGTGCAGCGCTTAGTGCAGAGTGGCAGAGACAGACACCAGGGCAGACTTTGAGGGAAGGAGGATGTAGTCTAGACGCCAAAGATGATAGGACAAGAAGAGGGCCATTGGTAGAAGCAGTAGTGTGAGCGGTGGCTGCAGGCCAACCCTGTCATGTCCTCCCAGCCCTCTTTTGCTGTCGCCATTGTCACACACCTCAGTCATTGCCAGGAACACTGGGCAACACACCAGGCCAAACAAAGTTATCCACTTTGATGCTGCTCCTTGGGCCCTGCAGGACCCTCTAGGGCTCAGCACTTGTCCCAGCTGGGCATTGTGTGCTTATGAGACTTGTCTTGCCTGGGTTAATCCTCCACCTCCCACCTGTGGAAATAGTCTCTCCAACCTCTTCCCCCCAGGACTGGGGATTGATCTCAGGGCCTTTGCACTGAGCTATATCTGCAGTCCTTTTATTTAGTTTTTGTTTGGTGACACAGTGCCACTAAGTTACTAAGTTGCCCATACCGGGCTTGAGTTTAAGATCCTTCTGCCTCAGTCTCCCAGAGTGTAGTAGCCCCCATTTTACAGATTAGGAAACCACGGCTCGGAGGGGGTGAGGCACTTGTCCTAGGACACAGGAGTAAGAGGGTAAGGCGGGTTTCAGATCCATGTCTGTGATGCCACAGCCCTCAGGAGACACTCAGTTGACACAGAGCACTGTGCTTCGACCCACACAGGGTGCCTTGAACCTGGCTCTGGAGGAGCAGAGAGGGGCCCTGAGAGTGTGATGGAGGAGCCAGTATGGTAGGAGATGTGTGTGGTGGGATGAGGTGAGTTTGGGCGGCTCCAGGGTACCCAGGATGGTAGTGAGTATCCAAGTCTGGGCCAGAGAGCTGGTGGCCTTGTTCCAGGAATTGTTTCTGAGGCTGGTCCGTCCCTTCAGCCTTGGTACCCGTTTCAACCCTGCCGATCCCTTCGCCATCAAAGGCATCACCTCCCCCAGGACTCCCTCCCTGACTCTGCATTCTGGTCTTCATTTCTCCTCCAGAATGAGGCTTGGGGTGCATGTGGCTAAAAGCTGGGGCAGTGGGGGAAGGAGTAGTATATTTGGGTCACAGAATCTCAGCTTTCTCTAGGCTTTGGGGCATCAGGAAGGGCTTTAATCAGTGAGGCAGGAGGCTGTGCAAAGAGGATGCCAGGTACGGCTCCGTAGCTGTGTCCTGGCTCTGTTGCTTAGTGATGCTCAACTGTTCTGTCCCCAGCCTTCCCTCCAAGGAGGAGGAGATATTGCTGCCACCACCACTGTCATCCCCTCCCCAGCTAGAGCCCAAGGAGCCATCCACCCTCCCTGGGGGGACATCCTGCACCCCGGAGATCCCTCCGAAGCCTCTCCGTCTGCCCCCAGAGTTTGGTGAGTGCTGCAGGCCAGGATGGGATGGGATGGGCTCCAGGGGGCTCGCCTGTGGATGGGCCCCCAAAGAGCATACAGAGGTCATAGCGCTCTTTCTGCCGCCTGCCGCCAGTCCTCTGTGTGGCCCTAGGCAGGTCCTGAGCATCCTTATCTTCGTTGCCCCAGTGCAGACAGTGCCCCTGCCTGACTGCGCACCAGTAGTGCGGCGCATGGCTGCTCCTAAAAGCCATGGGTCCCGGTCTGGCAGTGGCATCTAGGAGTCATAGTTTGTTGGTCCTGGGGTTGTCTACTTTTCTTGATCATTACTGCCTTTTTTGGATAGTCCCTACCCCTGACCCCCAAATTTGCTGCCTCATCAGGCCTCCCTGTGGTGGCCCTGTCTCTCTGTTGATATAAATAGCACTTCCTGTCCCTGTGCCTTTTTTTGAGAGCCAGGCCACCATGGGGGTGAGAACCTTCATTGGCCTGGGGTTGGCCTTTGTGAAGCCAAGCCGTAGTGTGCTGGGGTCCGGGAGAGGCAGTCTCCTTCCCTGCTACTGAGTGTCTCCCACCCTTCTCTCATCAGATGACTCTGACTACGATGAGGCCCCAGAGCGGGGGCCGAGGGCCCGTCTCAGCGTGATGACCAAGAAGGTAGGACAGGGCAGTGGCTAGGCTTGGACTATCTGCTTGTGATGTAGAGGGAGCATAGTTTCACTGCCTCGCAGACCTCAAAGATCAGCAGACAGAGTGAACACCACTTTCCCCACCACACCGCCTGGGCCTGCAGGGGTTGGGGTCAAGGGTAGTGCCAGAGCTGCGGGCCAGGGATCTGGGGCTCTGATCTGTGACTTCTCTCCCCGGCGTTGGCTGCTTTTGGCTGGATGTGTGTGTCCCTCTCCACCTCTGTGTTTCCGTCTTGAATGACTGTCCCTGTCTTTCTTTCACTTTCTGTGTTCACGTCACTCCCTCTCTGAGCGTTTGACTTGTCTCTGTAACCTGTAGTCTTTCTCTGCTCCTTTCTTTTTCTTTTTTTTGGTACTGGGGACCGAACTCACAACCTTGTACTTGCCAAGCAAGTGCTTATGCTGCTGAGCTAAATCCCTAGCGCTTCCCCTTTATTTTTCAATCTTTATTCTTATCCTAGATCTGTGTCTGCCACTGCTTCTCCTGTCCCTTTGTCCCTGGGTCCTCTGTGGGCTCCGCTGGGGGGAGGGGTAGAATGGGGAAACAGAAGTAAAAATGCTGAGTTGTGGGTCGGGGATGGGTGGACAGAGGTTGGAGTGGCAACCCTGGGCGTGTGATCGGAATTTGAAGGGGAGCATACCACTCAGTGGGCCGGGGGTGGGTTACAGGACCCCCCACTGAGCCGAGTCCCTCGGGCTGTACGCGTGGCCAGTCTGCTGAGTGAGGGGGAGGAACTGTCCGGGGACGACGAGGATGAGGATGACCATGCCTACGAGGATGTCCCCAAGTGAGTGTTTGGTGGTTTCCCTACCCAGCCATCTCTTTTCAAAAGCCCATCCCGTCTTTGATCCTCAAGTCTCCACAGCCCCACCCCGAGGAAACCCTCACCCCTTAGCCCTCCATCTCTGCTCTTTCCTAGTGGTGCATGGCATACCAGCTGCCTGAGCTCACCTCTGCCCGTCCCAGCCCCTGAACCTCTGCTGCACTCCATGGATGATCTGCCTGGGGGCTCTACCCCCGCCACACTGGTTATCAAGGCTGGCTGGCTGTACAAGAACCCGCCGCAGGGGTGAGTGTGACCTCCTGGCTCTCTGCATGGGGGCAGACAGCACTCTAGGACACTGGCGACAAAACCAGAGGGCTTCAAAATCATTCGAGCAATTTGCCCTCCAGACACACTGTAACCACCAGTTATCCCACCAGACTTGTGTTTTATTGTCCTTAGAACTGGGAAGTTCTACTTTGATTTACTTCAGTCACTCTTGTAGGTAAAGTCCGTTTCCCTCAGTGATCTGTGAGATCTTTTCTCTCCTGAACTCAGCTGATCCTAACTTTGTGTGTGGCTTTCAGAGTGATAGGCTGGGGATAATTCTGGAACTTCTCCCATAATCCACAGCCTTTTGCTTTGTGGTTTCTCTGCTTCTGTCTCTTTAGATCTTATATCTATCAGAAACGATGGGTGAGACTGGATGTTGATTACCTGCGATACTTTGACAGTAACAAGGTGAGGCCTACATTAGTCCCTGACTTGACCCTTGCTCCCGCCTGGGCCCAGCCTGAACCCAGACACTGGATAGAGGTGGAGTCCTAACCAGAGCTGCATGTGACTCCTTAACCTGTGTCCCTCCTCGTGGGCGCTCGCACATAGGCAGCTGTGAGTGGAGGCCAGGGTCACACAGGGTGATTCCTGACCTCCTGTCAGGAGACAGGCCTGCAGCCTTTGTTTGGGAGCTGGAGAGGTGATTCTGGGGGCTCCAGTCCAACCCTGAAATGCAGCTCTTTTCCTTTTCTCCAGGACACCTACTCTAAGCGCTTTATTTCTGTCGCCTGCATTTCTCGTGTGGCTGCCATTGGGGACCAGAAGTTCGAAGTGATCACAAACAACCGGACCTTTGCCTTCCGGGCAGAGAGCGATGGTGGGGAGTTCTTGGAGTGGCATGTGTGGGTGGAGAGGGAGAGGAGTCAGGAGTTTTGGCCAGATAAAGGGGGGAATAGAACCAAGGCTAATGTTCGCCCAAGTCACATTCTTGGAGGTGTCATTCCCTTCTGAGGGGGAGACTCTTCCAAGTCCCCATGGCCATTCATACCTGTGATCAGGGAATCAGGCTGGGGCAGGTGAAGTGACTTGGCTGGTGTAAGTGGCACAAGCTGGGCCTGGGGACTGAGCTTGTCTAAGTCATAGGAGCCAGGTGGAGTGATGGGTGACCAGAGGCATTTCCTGAGGAGCCTGGGCCCAGCTGACCTGGGAGCTCCCCTCTGGGTCCAGGCTCATTCAGCTTATGTCCCCCAGCGGAGCGGAACGAGTGGGTGCAGTCCTTGCAGCGGGCAGTGGCCGAACAGCATGCCCGGGCCCAGCAGTCTGGCGCTTACCTGGTGGGAGTTCGAAGCTTAGAGCAGCACGACCGCGCCGGCAACCTGGAGCTGCGTGGCTTCAAGAATAAGCTATATGTGGCTGTAGTTGGGGATAAAGTGCAGCTTTATAAGAACCTGGAGGTGAGAAAAAGACTTGGCCAGGTCACTGAACCTCTCCCTGTGCCATGCCTGCCCGGGACCTGAGCCAGCCCCTTTGCTCATGCACGGATTCCTGAGTCCCCTTTGTCTCCTTCCTAGGTACTTTCTAGTCCTAAAAAGTACCACCTTCCCTTCTCTCCCTGTTCCTGGGCCTTACACCCTGCCCCCCAAACCTTGCCCTCATCCCTTCCTGCCTGCCTGCCAGGAATACCACATGGGCATCGGCATCACCTTCATCGACATGAGTGTGGGCAACGTGAAGGAAGCTGACCGGCGCAGCTTCGACCTCACCACGCCCTACCGCATCTTCAGGTGAGCCCTCCCGCCCTCAGCTCTGCTTGCCTGCATCCTCTTCCCTCCAGGTGTTTTCCTCTTGCAGAATGGGGATAGTGTCCTTCCCTTCTCAGCCCTGTCCCACCCAGATAGGTCCTTGATCTTCACCCCTTAATCTACTCTAGCCTCTTCCTCTAAGAAGTCTCAGTCCACTCCCACTCCCTCTGGCATTCCTGGCCCATGCGCTGCTCCAGGATGCCTCTCCTGGCTTTGCACGCTTGCCTTGCTCCCTGCATAGTGCTCTTGGATGCTTCCTTGTCTCCAGGGCAGCTTCTGCTCTGGAGCCTGTCCTGAGTGCTTCTTTCTGCGCCTCAGTGTCCCTCTCTGTTCCCTGCTCTCTCCTTGGGCAGCCTCACCAACCCCCAACTATCCCCCACCACCTCTCCGTGCTGTGCATGGCTTTCAATCCTGGGCCCGCCTCTAACTGGCTGTGTGACCTGGGAGGCCACTGTCCTCTTGACCTGGGGAACTGAGGACTCGGACACCATGTGGCTCCATAATACTGGCCTCACCACCACCACCTCTTCCCTGAGCTTAGCGGGATGCCTGATGCACTTTCTGAGTACAAGGCCTACTGCTTGATGTCTCTTCACACACCTCTTCCTGCAGCTTCCCCTGCTCTGCCTAGGGCCGCTTCACACCCTGTACAAACCATCACCACCCCACTGCTCCCACCTCTATCTCTTCCCATCCCTCTGCCCAAGCTGTCCTGGCCCGGGTGCCCACCACCTTATCCTTTGGCTATGTATCCAAGCCTCTGTGTTCCACCTGACAGCAGAAGCGTACATTTTTATGTTGATAGCTAAGTTTGTATTTGTTTGCTTATTGCATTTAAAGTACTCTAATGGCATCTTAGCCAGACATTTGTTGCCATAATCCTTACCTGCCACACAACTCTAGCTTTTACCTGCGGAATTTCTCTCTGCATCTGGTCCACAGAGGCCTGTCCACCCCTCTGGTTGCTTACTGCCACCAGGCTGAACTGATTTTTGGTACCAAGGCCACCACCACCCTGGTACACTGCCGTTGCCATAGGCTGCCAGTGCTCATCTCAGTCTTTGGTGGCTTTGCAGATTGCACATGCCAGGCTGCCATGGGTGAGGTGGTGCACAACCCCTCTCCTAAAGTGGTTCTAAGGCCCATTACCCCTAGCGTTGACTGAGATAGTGGCCTTGGGTTTTGGGTGGTGTAGACTCTAGTCCTTTGTGGCTTGGAGGTGGTAGAGAAAGAGCAAGGAGGGGAGGCTGTGTGTGTGTGTGTGTGCGTGTGTGTGTGTGTGCGTGTGTGTGTGTGTGTGTGTGTGTGATCTGTGTATTGTCCAGCCAGGGCTCCTCACCCCAAAAAGCAGGGAGCACTAAGGCTGGGCTCAGGTGTCTGTGTTGGTGGAATTCTTTGTGGTCTGGGGTCATGGGGATGGGATAGGAAGGAGGCCGAGGACGCCAGTGGTAGAGGGGTCTTTGTGCCCTCTCCTGCTTCTCCTCTAAACCCTCTCCAGGGTGCTCCATTGTCTCAGGGTGCTCTTTGACCTCTGCCTGGCCGAGGACAATCCCTGTCCATCTCCTAGCCTCTTCTCTGCCAGCCTGCCCTCCTGCTCATAGGTCCTGGGATGCCTGTGTACCATTCTGCCTCTGCACATGGCGGTCTCTGTCTGGAACACCCATACACCCTTCACCTGGGACAGCCCTGCTACCTATCAGGCATCCTTTCCAACACCCGTGGTCAGGCAGGGTCTCCCTGGGCTTCCCACCCCCATATGTCTCTCAGGCTTGTAGTATCTTTGCCTTAGATCCAGGATGCCTCCCTCTTCTGATGAGGAGCTTCTAGTGCCTTGTCCACCTACTTTACGCTGTGTTCCTGGTGCTGCCCCAAGTCCCTGTAAACCCCTTCCACCAGCCCCCCTACTCCTTTATCCCCAGCTTCTCGGCTGACTCGGAGCTCGAGAAGGAGCAGTGGCTGGAGGCCATGCAGGGAGCCATTGCTGAGGCGCTGTCCACCTCGGAGGTGGCTGAACGCATCTGGGCGGCAGTCCCCAACAAGTTCTGTGCTGACTGTGGGGCTGCCCAGCCTGACTGGGCCTCCATCAACCTCTGCATCGTCATCTGCAAGCGCTGTGCAGGTACGTGTGCGCTGGGGGCACCTGGCAGAGCAGAAGGGCAACTGGCCTGTGTGACAGGTGGGGAGCCACTGTTCATGAGGTTGCTTGTGTGTACCGAGCTGTTCCTGTGCCATCATCCTTCACTATAAAGCCAGATTTCCATTTGCACACTGTGGGTGAGGATACAGGCATGGAGAAGGAAAATGGGTTGTTCAGTGTCATCTGGCAAGTGAGTGAATCTGGACTGAAGCCCAGGTCTTTGGGCTCTGGTGTCTCTGTTGCATCAGGAGAGTTGAGGCAGGCCAGACTGGCCAGGGCTTTTGTCCAGAGGGAGATGGGAGACAGGGGACCCAGGAACATAGATTTGTAGGTCTGACTCTGTCTGTTGGGTAGAAGTTGAGTTTGGAGACCAATGCAGGATCCAGGAGGGAGGGGAGGAGGAGGCCATATGCAACATGAGGGTTTTATGGGATTTATGGTGTGAAAGTCTTCCTGTTTTTTTTTTTTTATTGGTACCGGGGATCGAACTCAAGACTGCCTGCTTGCAAGGCAGGTTCTTATGCCGCTGAGCTAAATCCCCAGCCCAAATGGTGTGAAAGTCTTAATGAGCAATTGGGTGAGAATGATGACAGTGAAAAAGCAGGGACCCCAAGGTGCACTCATCTATTCCTCCATATGTCAGACACTGTGCTACATGCTAGGGATTGGGCCCTCATGGCGGTGCCTATGTGATGACTGAGAGTAGGAATCCTCTAAAGTGGGGAAACTGACAAGCTCAGGAAGGATCTCAAAGCCTGTGGGATTTCTAGAGCAAATGTCTAGGGGCCTTGGGGATGAGGTCTGGTCATATGTAAGTGATGAACCAGGAGGGAATAAGATGCCCCGAGGGAGGATACACAGGGAGGCGGCTAAGCTAGAACCATCCTGCCAGCAGGCACTTCTGGTGCCCCTTCACCATCCTCCCTGCTCCAGGGGTCCCTTGTGGGGCCTGTAGCTGGCTCCCTCAGCCAACTCCTCCTTCACCCGTTGTTCTACTGAGATTTATTAGGTGCCCACTGTGTGCCAGGCTTTGTTCTGGGCACTGAGGATAGAGCCCTGAAATAGACAGGCAAGGTTTCCACTCGTGTGCAGCTGACATTCAGTGGGGGATGCAGATTGCATGCTAACTACTAGAAGTCCGGGGCCTGCCAAGTGTTAGAGAACGAGCTGTTTGTCTGGAAAGCCTCTCTGAGGAGGTGACATGTCAGCTAGGATCTGAGTGACAGGGCGGAGCAGCTGTTGGGAGACGGGGAAGAGAATCCAAGTAGGAAGCTGGGGTTGGAGGAAAATCAGGTAAGGAATTGAGATCTAATTCTGGCTGGAAATGGCCTTGGATGGCCACAGGGAGGCAATGTGGTGTAGGGGCTGCTGCAGAAGCCTAAGTGAGGGTGGTGGGGCTCAGAGTTCTGATATGGGGCACAGGGGTGTGTAGCTATATTCCAGAATTGTGCCAGAGGAGGGGCTGGTACTTGTGGTGCTGGGCACTGGGGGCGGGGAGTGAGGGCTCATGTGAAGGGGTCACCCCTCTGCCTACAGGGGAGCATCGTGGCCTGGGCGCTGGCATCTCCAAGGTGCGGAGCCTGAAGATGGACAGGAAAGTGTGGACAGAAACCCTCATCGAGGTGAGAATGCCCCTGCTTACCATTATTGCTTAGATTTATCCTCAGCTACTGCTTAGGATGTTCCTCTCTCCTCCCACATCCCCCTTGGAGCTGAAGAGACCTTTGTGATAATCTAATGGGTGGGGATTTTGGAAAAGCTGGCTTTTTGGCAAAATCAACAAACTGGCTAGTGAGCTAAGAATGTATTTTTTAAAATGGTTTTAAAGGATTGAGAAAAAAAGATGTAACAGACTCAATGTTTTCTGTAAAGCATATACTCTTTACTATTTGTCCTTTTAGAGACTTTGCCTACCCCTGATCTTGTTTACCTGTTGTCCCATTATAAGGATGATGAAACTGAGTTCCTGCACAGGGTTATAGTCTGCCTGAGATTACCCTATAAATCCATGTTGATCATCCAATCCTGTCCCTTTCTTTCCCACTTCCTGACTGACCCAGGTCTTCTCAGAGCCTCTTCCCCTTCATTTCATCTGAGTTCACAAGACCAGTGTGTACATTTTGTGACACACATATGCATGTGCATTCATTCTTACTTGTGGACTTGAATTTCCTTGGCACCTATATCTGGGGGACTTGGAGTAGAGAACCTTTAGCAGGAGGCTGGACCTTGGGTCTTACCACACAGGGTATTCCTGACAGCCCTAGCCGAGCTGCGTGTCACATTCATTTAAGTCTGCACTGTGTGTTTGGCAATAAAGTGATAAGGGTTCTGCATTTGTTAATTGACTTTGGAAATAATCCTGTGGTTTAGGATTAGAGTACCCAATGTACAGATGAGGACATTGAGTCCCAGGGAGGGAAAATAACTTGCTAAAGCCACAGAATGAGTCATTAGTAGCATGGACTGTTTCTGCTTTGTTGTCTCCTGTGACTCTATCATCCCACAAAGAAGGGGGGATGGGGAGCCTTGGAAATGGCTATGGAAGGAGTACTGAGCAGAAGAAAAGAAACTAGTTCACCGTGTGCTGGATTCCTGCATTCTTCTAGGGTTTGCTTTCACCTCTGTTGTTGAAGGTGTCAGAGGGTGTGTCAGAGACAGAAGATGTTTCCAAACTTCCTGCCCTTCTCACTGGCTGACCATTTAGACACAGCCTCCAGCTGTGACAGCCTCAGGAATGCAGAGTTCCAGATGTGGGGCTGGGTGGGGCAATGGCAGAGCCCCCAAGGACCTGACACCAAGCTAGTGGCGTCTACCTTCAGACTGTCTGCTTTTGTCCTGTTGCAGCTAAAGAGCTGGGCCCAGAGCCCAGGACCAGTGAGGCTAGCAGTCATGGCCCCCAGCAGGCTGCACTGCCCTCACCTTACCTGCTGGGAAATGGGTGATCGGCCTGGTTCTCCAGGTCCCTTGTTTGAGAACTTCTGGCTGTCAGCTGTCCTCTCTGACTCTCGCCCGCACCTGCAGCTCTTCTTACAGCTGGGCAATGGTGCTGGGAACCGCTTCTGGGCAGCCAACGTGCCCCCCAGTGAGGCCCTGCAGCCCAGCAGCAGCCCTGGAGCGCGGCGGCACCACCTGGAGGCCAAGTATAGGGAGGGCAAGTACCGGCGCTACCACCCGCTCTTTGGCAACCAGGAGGAGCTGAACAAGGTCAGCACTGCGCGTCTGGGACCTGTGAGGCCCCCCCCTTGTCCCCACATTGTCTGGGCCCTCTTGTGACTGCCCCCTTTCTTCCTGCTGCCCTGGCTCAGCCCAGCTCCTCTACCAGCTCAGAGCTGGCACACAGGGAAACTGAGGCCTACAATGTCCTGCCTAGGGAAAGTTAGGGCAATGCAGGGAGGAGCCAGGCCTGACCTTGGGCCAGGGCCACGTCCCCAGCATCTGTCTGCCTCCCTCCTGATTCCTCTGTCTCCCGCACCCCGTCCTGTTCCTTCTGAATCCTGCCAAAAGGAGTGAACTTGACAGGGATGCTATTTCCTGTCAGGCTCATGAAAAACAGCTGGACTGCTCTGACCCACCCCTATCCACACCCCATTCAAGAGGAGGCCCCATATGGGCCCCAGTCCCTCACAGGCTGGAGCCAAGTCTTGGGCCCTAATCTCATTCAGCTTGAGTGGGAGAAAGCGTGCTCTGAGGCAGGGGGATGCTGTTTGTGACCTCTGGTTGGCCCTCAGCCCCTCCCTCAAATAGCCCTGTTCTGGCAGCTCCATCTGGCTCTAGAAGCCCAGTAGGAGCCAGGCCTCCACCTCCCAGAGACCCAGGCATCCTGCCCCAGCCCAGCCCAGTCTGGCCTGCAAGCCAGGAGGGCGACAGCTCCCATTGGTTGGGAGGGCCAGGCAGGCGGTGAGGAATTTCAATGTGGGAGGAATCAGCTACAGAGTCCCCTCTGCCCCTCTGCAAGGCAGAGGGAGCTTGAGATCCTCCAGGGCCTGTAGGCTGACCAGCAGCTCTGTGAGCAGGGGTGAGGTCTGGGGAGCTGGGAGCCCTCTTGGTTCTGTGAGGTGTTCCTTGCACATCCTCCCTCCTCTGGCCTTTTTTCTGTTCTTTCTTCCCTCTCTGTTCTCTTTGTGGGTCACCCCAGACCTGGGTGACACCTTCCTTGCCTCCCCTATGCCCCTGTTCCTGCTGGCCCCTGTCTGCTTGGGCTGACCGTCCCTTCCCTTCTTCTAGGCGCTGTGTGCTGCAGTCACAACCACAGACCTGGCTGAGACCCAGGCTCTCCTGGGCTGTGGGGCTGGGGTCAACTGCTTCTCAGGGGACCCTGAAGCCCCCACACCCCTGGCTCTTGCTGAGCAGGCTGGGCAGACACTGCAGATGGAATTCCTTCGAAACAACCAAACCACAGGTGAGTAGCCAGTGGGACTGTCCCCGTCAAGGATAGGGTCTCTGCTGATAGTCTCGTCCTTTGGTTGGGTTGAGGGGCAGGTAGGGGTCCCCCAGGAACTGTGCAGCACCCTGGGAGGTTTGACTTACAGGCCACTTCCAAGCTGGGATTACAGCTCCTTGAGACGCCCTGGGGCAGCAGTGTGTAATGTGGAGTGAGTTTGGGTGTCAGTGTATTGTGTGCTTCCTATGTGTATCTGTGTCCCCTCTCTGTGACTTTGTGTTTATGTCTCTTCCTGACTGTGGGTCTGTCAGGGTGGCATTTGTGTGCCAGGGTCTGGGTACCCTGGAGATGCTCTTTGTGTTTCTTTGAATCAAGGGCGCTGAGGGCCTGGGGGGTTGTGTATATGCTGTGTGTTTGTGCTGCTGTGTGGAGCGGTGTTGCCTTTCTCCATGCGTGTGAGCTACCACAGCAGCCCTGTCCGTTGCTCTGTCTGGGTGGAGTCCTATCACAGATCTGGGTTAGGTCCCATTCAGCTCCTACTCTTTCAGTGGATGAGAAGAGAGTGGTGGAGGTGACTGGTGCTGGTCATGGCCTCTGTGTGGCCTCTGGGGTCACATCCCAAGGCTGAGGGTGGAGCTCAGTGGCACGGGCTCTGGGCTTGGGGCCACAGGTGGGTGGTGTGCTGGGCCGGAGAGAGCCCAGGTGTCTAGGCAGGCACAGGAGACTGCCCGGCTGGCTTGGGCTTGGGGCAACCCTCCCCCTAGTTGTTGATTACTGGAAGCAAGGCTGGAGTGAAGTTCCTTTGCTGGCTTCATGTTGTCTGGAACAAACGTCTCTCTAGGGATTGTCATGGAGTTGGCTCCAAGCTGCCCTCATTTTAGTATCCTTGGCCTTGTCCCTCCAACAGGGAGCATGGGGTGAGGTGGGAGTCAGGGGGGCTTTGAGGAAAAGAGGTACTAGACTTGGTCCTTGGCCGTGGAGTTAATTCCCCCAGATGTGCAGAGGTGGAGAAATGGCTCCACAATCTACACAGTAGGAGGGGGAGACTGAGGGTGCCAATTCGGGAGCTGAGAAGCCTGGGCTGGGACTTGAATATGAGCCTGTTACCCTACCCAAGAGGAATTAAGGTGGGGCACCCTCCCAGACAGCTAGCATGACCAGCGTCTCCCACCCCTCTTCCAAAGATGTCCCTCGGGTGGACTCAATGAAGCCCCTAGAAAAGCACTACTCAGTTGTCCTGCCAACTGTCAGCCATAGTGGCTTCCTCTACAAGACTGCTTCCGCCGGCAAGCTGCTGCAGGACCGCCGGGCCAGGGAAGGTGAGTGCCGTGCCGTGCCCTGCCCAGCCCATGGCATTCTGGCGCTGCTCAGGACCAGGGAAGCCAGGGCTGGCTGGGCTGGGGCCCGTGAGATGTCAAGAGGGACTGTGGCAGAGCCACGTGGGAGGTTTTCTGGATGTGGTCTCTGATAATACAGTAGGTTTTACTAGATGGGCCTGTGGCAGCAGGGCTAAGGTCAGCACTGCAGAGCAGGCTGCTCACTGCCAGTTTCCTTGAAATTAAAGAAGTCTGTCCTGGGCTCCTGATGGGTGTGGCCCTGTGCTGCATCATCGGGTTCACAGCTTGTGGATGGTAGGAACTTTGAGGAATGAATTTGAAGTTGCCACCCTCTCCGATGTCTGCTTTCCATTCTGTCCCAGACTCTTGCTACAATGCAGTATTCCTTACTGGATCTCACCAGAGCCCCAAAGTTGGCTGCCCTGTCCCTTACTCTCCTCCTTTCTCTGTGGCCCAGTCTGTCCCCTACCCTCTTAGTCTGGTCCCCTTACTGTTTTGTAGCCATACCAGTTTCACGCCCACTTCACAGTGACCATTCCTTCTGCCTCAAATGCTTTTCCCAAATGTCTGTAGGGAAGCTCTCTATTTAAATGTCACTTCTGCAGAGGTGCTCTTGACCCTCTTATCCAGAACAGTGCGTCCCATCTCTCTCCCCTGATCCCCCTGTAGCTCTAGTGCCTGGGAAGTACTCAGCACCCAGCGGGCACTTGGCACATGTCTGCAGAATGAAGGGAGCCTGAGGAGCAGCTGATGTTTCTGGAGGGAGCACATCCCGAGGGACAGGCTTGGGGACACCTCACACTTAGAGGGCAGATGTCAGGCCCTGGTAAACATGACAGGCTGCGGTGGGAACACGGGTCACTCGCTGCACACTGCACCCCTCAGCAACTCCTGATTGAAGCCCTGGGACTGAGCTGTCCTGCTCCCAGAGGCTTCTTTGGAACTCCGCTGTTCACAACCTTCCTGCCTCAGGTCTGAATGTCATTTATGTAACTGCTTGAGTCATCCTTTTTGTCCTGGGTGCCAGGAAGCTCTGAGCCACTGAGAAGTTCAGTGCTGTCAGCTACACACATCTGAATGGCCTTGATGTTCTGTTTGTTCAGCTACCTTTCCTGGTCCAGATTCCCATATCTATTTCTTTTGTGGGATCTCGCTGGGCTCCTCAGAGCCGTTATAGGAGGAAGCAGGGTATAGATTTATGGGTGGCCCTGCGAAGGAGGGTGGGCGCGGAAGGCATCCTGAGGCCTTCAGCCTGTGGGTGGAGGGAGCAGTGAGTAAGAGCGGGGGTTCAGCAGAGGTAGAGGTGGGCAGAGGCTGATCCTGTAGGACCTTGAATGCCGGGCTGAGGGCCACAGTCCTGAGGATGACAGCAGCCAGAGGATATTTTGAGCAGAAGAAGGGGATGCAGACTGATTTTCCCTAGATCACTCTTGGGTCTCAGAGGATGTCGGGGGACCACTGAAGAGATGATTACAGAGTCTGGGGAGAGGCAGAGGAGTGAGTTGTTCTGGGTGGCAGGCTGCAGAGAGAATGAATTGGGAAACATGAATTAGAATGTAGAGCATGTGGGTAAGGCGGGGTAGGGGCTCAAGGAGGATATAGAGGGGCTTTTCAGGTGGAGGTGGGGCTCCCTTATGGCTCCCCTGCCCGACTTCTCCCTAGAGTTCAGCCGGCGCTGGTGTGTCCTCAGTGATGGGGTCCTGAGCTACTATGAGCATGAGCGGGCAGTGACACCCAACGGCGAGATTCGAACCAGTGAGATTGTGTGCCTGGCAGTGCTTCCTCCAGACTCTCATGGGTGAGCACCAACCTCTCTGACTGGAGAGACAGGGACATGGGCCCAGAGAGAGGCAGGGCTTTCCCAGGGTCACACAGCAAGCTGTACAAACACTGACCAAGGTCTCTGGAGGCTCCAAGCTCCACCACTCTTAGAGGGCTGGGGGTAACAAGAGCTATGTGGAGGGGTTGGAGGACCACAGTGGATGGGCCAGTGGGGTGAGTTGGGTAAGTCCTGGCCTATGTATTTGCAGCTTTGAGCACACCTTTGAGTTGTACACAGAGGGAGAACGGCTGTACCTGTTTGGGCTGGAGAGTGCGGAGCTGGCTCGTGAGTGGGTCAAGTGCATTGCCAAGGTGGGCCTGGGTTAGCAGGGCAGGTATCTGGCAGGCAGGGTGGGACCTCCTGGCAGATCCCATGTGGAACAAGCCTGGGTGAGGAGCAGTGACACAGCCCAGACCTCTCAGGCCTGACACAGTGCAGCCCCCTGAAGGGGAGGTCAGAAGGTTCCCCACACTGAGGAAGAAGGGATGTGGGGCTTGCAGTCTTCTTTGACAATAAGAGACAGTCAGAGCCATCTTAGGATGGACAGTGCTGACTCCAGGGGGGTGAGCTTCTTGTCTGGGGAGGTGTGCAAGCTGTGACTAGAGGGAAGAGACAGGGAGATGACAGAGGAGAGCTCTACCTTGGGGACTAGGGTCAGGTGCCCTGTTGAGCTCCCGTGCAGTGAGACCCTGTGACTCTCTGTCACTCAGTTGTTCAGTGGTCAGTTGCTGTGGTTCCTGAGGATCAGTGTTTGGAGTCCTGGGCACCCAGATGGGCCAGTCTGAGTCCTGGCTCTTCAGGAACTCCCTTGCTCTTGGGGTGGGGGAGACATACAGGGTACAGACAGCGGCAGTGTTGTCAGGGCTATGACAGATGGTCAGAACGCTTTGGCACCAGGGGTGCACAGAGAAGGGACACTTTTCATGGTGTCTGGGAAGGACCAGAGGAGGGCACATCTGAGCAGAGGGGCAGTGGGGCATGAAACTACCGTTTGGGTACAGTGCTGAGTTCTGCCCTGGGGAAGAGAAGGGGAAGCAGCTGAGTAAGGAGAGGGTCCTTGCCATGATCCCCACAAGCTGAGGCACTTGGGGTCCCAGAAAGCAGCTGTTGGCTGATACAGTCTTCGGGTCCTCTCCCCCATCAGGCATTCATGCCTCCCTTGGCTGAGGATCTGCTGGCCCGGGACTTTGAGCGACTTGGGCGCCTACCCTACAAAGCTGGCCTGAGCCTCCAGCGGGCCCAGGAGGGCTGGTTTGCTCTGACCGGCTCTGAGCTCCATGCTGTCTTCCCAGAGGGGCCCTGCGAGGAGCCGCTGCAGCTCCGGAGACTGCAGGAGCTTTGTGCGTGGACCTGGTCCCAGACCCCAACCTCTAAGGCACCCTTATTCCAGCTCTCAGCCCCCAGCCCCTCCCTAGTAGTCTGAACTGCATCCTGGCCTTGCCAGAAGGAGCCAGCCTGTCCTGTGTCCTCTCCTACCCTTAGGGTACATTTCGGTGGTCACTTAGGTTGGTGGGTGGATCCTAGGAGTCTTTCCAGAGAGCCTCAGGAGGGAGCAGGCGGGGTACTGTGAACAAGCTCTGGGCCTCACCCTGACTGGTCCCTTCACAGCCGTCCAGGGGGACAGCGACAACCAGGTGCTGGTGCTGGTGGAGCGAAGGAGGTGAGCTGTGGCCTCCCAGAGGGGCTCTGACAAGCCGGGGAGAGATGGAGAAGTGACTTGAATATCCTTTGTATAGAACACTGTATATCCAGGGGGAACGGCGGCTAGACTTCATGGGTTGGCTGGGGGCCATCCAGAAAGCAGCAGCCAGCTTGGGGGACACCCTGTCTGAGCAGCAGCTTGGGGACTCGGACATCCCAGTGATTGTGTACCGCTGTGTGGACTACATCACGCAGTGCGGTGAGGCCCACACCCTGCCCGTACTACACAGGCCCTGCCCCTTGCAGGAAGCCATCCAAGGCTCAGGATCCTTTTGAAAGTAGCTGTGCACCCTGCCTCTCCCTAGGGCTGACCTCCGAGGGCATCTACCGAAAGTGTGGGCAGACATCAAAGACCCAAAGGCTGCTGGAGAGTCTACGGCAGGATGCTCGCTCTGTGCACCTCAAAGAGGGTGAACAGCATGTCGACGATGTCTCCTCTGCACTCAAACGCTTTCTACGGGACCTGCCAGATGGCCTCTTCACGCGTGCCCAGCGCCTAGCCTGGCTGGAGGCCTCAGGTGGGCCCTGCAGCCTGTGCTCAGTCTTATTAACTTCTGTCTTTGGATCCCCTTCTGGGCCTTCATGCACCTGGACTAGGCATGTTCCTGCAGACAGGCGCAGGCCTGTCTTCCTCTCCTACTTCTCATTCCTCGTGTCACTATGTACAGCCACGGTCCCCTGGGGTTGAGAATTCTTCATCCTCGATGAGTACTGGCTTGCTTTCACTTGGAGGGCACAGGGAGTGTTGTCACCCAGCATGACAGGCAGAGCAGCTGTGGGGTGGGGCTGGAGGGTAGGTGTGGGGGTTTCTGACCTGTGACCCATCTCGCCCACCCAGAGATTGAGGATGAGGAGGAGAAGGTCTCCAGGTACCGAGAGCTCCTGGTGCATCTGCCTCCTGTCAACCGTGCCACGGTGAAGGCCCTTATCAGCCACTTGTACTGGTGAGGGGTGATACTGGTACCAGGCTCTGGAGGGATGGGGTACAGAAGTCTCCTGTTCCCTTTCTGGCTGACTGCCCTACCCTGGGAACCAGGTAGGCCTGGGGAGTAACCTAACACTAACCTCCAGTGTTGGGTTTGTCATCTTACATCCCCAGGGTAGGAAAATAGAAGATTTTTCAGTTTTGGGCCAGGTCTCTCAGCTTCCCAGCCCTCTTCCTCACCAGGACCTGAGACATATCCCTTTAGTTAGGAGCACACTGACTCCGACCTTCCGTGGCCTCTAGTGCTGGTCTTGGACCTGTCACTAGCTAGAAGATAACTGGGAAGCTCTGGGCTGAACTTCTCACTCATGTATTTTTCCTCCCCTCTGTAGTGTCCAGTGCTTCTCAGACACAAACCAGATGAACACACACAACCTGGCTATTGTGTTTGGGCCCACACTCTTCCAGACAGATGGGCAGGACTACAAGGCTGGCCGGGTGGTGGAAGACCTCATTAACCACTATGTGGTGGTGTTCAGTGTGCGTCCCTAGCCGGTGGTCAGGGGAGGGCAGGGCTGAGCCTCTCAGCTGTCAGTGACTTTCTGCCCCTTGCTGTCTCCCCTTCCCAGGTGGATGAGGAGGAGCTGAGAAAGCAGAGGGAGGAGGTCACTGCCATTGTGAAGATGCGAGTGGCTGGCACTGCCAGTGGGACCCAGGTGAAGGATGGGCCTGTGTGGGGGCTGGGGTGGTGGTGGGCACCTGCTCCCAAGACCTACAGCCAAGCTGTGTTTCCCTGCAGCATGCTGGTGACTTCATCTGCACAGTCTACCTGGAAGAGAAGAAGGCAGAAAGTGAACAGCATATCAAGGTGAGGGCTGGGGACCTAGGAGCCGAGAGGCCAGTGGAGTCAGAGTGGGCCAGGGCCCAGATAGCCAGGGGAACAGAGATTGCAGCCTACAGAGAGCCCAGTTGGGGCTGTGTCTGACTGGTTCTGGGCCTATCTTTTCTCCTCATCAGGACCCTCAGAGACATCCGAGGACTCAGAACCTGAGAGGGATGGGCTTGAAATTGCACAGCAAGGTTAGGCAGGGCAGGGCCCACAGTAGGCTGACCTTCTTCTCCTTGGTCATCGCAGATCCCAGCATCCATGACAGCTGAGGAACTTACTCTGGAGATCCTGGACCGCCGCAACGTGGGCATTAGGGAGAAGGACTACTGGACTTGCTTTGAGGTCAATGAGAAGGAGGAAGCTGGTGAGTGACGATCAAGACTGGTGTGAGGCAGGGTGTGGCCTCATCTGGGCTGCAGTCCCAGTGTGTACCCCTTTTCCCCTGCTCTGTGGGGACCATGGTGTGAAAAGGGTTTTGGGTGACACCAGTGACTACTGCATTGATGAGGACTGTGGTCTCTATATAGGATAGTGGTGATGGATAGGGGTTGAGATGATGGCTGTCACATAGCTGATACGGACAGAGAAGGGACAGATGGTGCCATCCATCCCACCATGATGATGTTTTCTTAGCAGTCAGTGAGAGTAGTTTTCATTAAGGAAGTGACACTGTTGAAATCAGCAGTGGAATTGCAGGGTGGGTGACACCGTTCTTGGTGGTGTAGGGTGTGGTGATGACCATGCAGGTACGTTAGTGTGGCGGTGGTGACAGTGGCATGGGTGAGGGTGTTTGTGGTGGTGTTGTGAATGACTGTGACAATAAAGGGGTGAATGACTGTGGCAATAAAGGGGTGGATCAAAGCTTCTTTTGGTGAAGGGGGATCTTGTTATGCATGGAGGTGAAAGCTGATCTTGGATCTATGAAAGTTTTTTAACTGTTGTTTGTTGACTGCCAGGCACTGGGCTGAGGAGCCAGACATACCTTCCCTCCTCTCATAGGGCTCAGTCTGATGAGGGCTGGAGATGTTAATCCTATGATCACACCAGAAAAGGAACAGTTACAGCCACATTGGTTGCTATGAAGGAAAGGACCACAGTGTCACCAGAGCTTGTGATGGAGTCTCTGGCTTCAGGTCTGAGCCAGATGTGAAGGGAGAATAAGGGTTACCTGAGGAAGATGGGAATAAGTGCTCCTGGGAAGCAAAAGCAGCATAGGAAAGGCCCTGGCCTGGACAGAGGCCCAGCTGTGCCAAGGAGAGGAAGCCGCAGGGAAAGTAGCGAGGGCAGAACTAGAAATGGCGGCAAAGGGGGCTGCACAGAGGGCTGTGGCAGTGCGGGGCTGCTGAAGGGTTAGAGATGGTGATATGAAAGACCATTGCTTCTGGGTGGAGCAAGGCGGAACACAGGAAGTGAGAACACACTGCAGAGGCCACTTTGAAGGTCCGGTGGTTGTCCGAGGAGAAGCCTGGGCCAGTGGAGAGGGCCAGGCAGGGATCTGTGCAGAGGGTGGAGGGAGTGAGGAGGGCTTCTGGCTTGGACAGTCTGGTCTCTGACACCGCTGCTGTTTGCGCTGATGGGGACACTTGTGGGATGATCTCTGGCTTGGTTTTGCTCACAGTCAGGTCTGTTAACCCAGAAGTGCGATTGTGGGAAGGGTGGTCTCGGTGGTGGTGTGTTGTGCTGGTGGATGGTGGGGCTGGATGATAGATGTGGAGGTAATATGTTGGCCCTTGGTGGACTGTTGAAGGTTTGATCCCAGTGACAATGTGTGTGACCTCTCCCCAGAGCGCCCGCTGCACTTTGCAGAAAAGGTGTTGCCTATCCTGCATGGGCTGGGGATAGACAGCCACCTGGTGGTGAAGAAGCACCAGTCCATGGAAGCCATGCTAGTATACCTGGGTAGGTGGGGCCTAAAGGGGGTGGGGCAGGCTGGGTGGGTCTCTTTATCTGTCCAGAGCCAGGGTGAGACCTGGTGACATTAGCTGGCAGCAGCTTAGTCAGAGGGAACCAGGTGGGCCGGCCTGTATGAAGGCTGGGCAGGATGGGGCCGATTCCTTGATCTGGAGATCCTGCTCTGGGACATTTGGGTCCATGGGTGGTTGGGTAGTGCAGCCCATGCTTATCCCAGTCCTCCCCCAGCCAGCCGTGTGGGTGACACCAAGCATGGAATGATGAAGTTTCGTGAGGACCGAAGCCTGTTAGGTCTGGGGCTGCCCTCAGGTGGCTTCCATGATCGCTACTTCATCCTCAATAGCAGCTGCCTGCGGCTCTACAAGGAGGTCCGGGTAAGTGACCCTATGGGTCTTGTCCCATGTTGGGCACCTGCACCAGAGTGTGCTCAGACACCCATGCAAAGCATTCCCCTTGGTCTGAGCGGAGTGTCTCCATCATGGGGCCTTGGGTTGGCCCAGCAGTGGGAGAGAGCTGTAGGCTCTTTGGTGGCACTGGGCAACCACTCTGCTGTGCCTTTTAGCCCTAATAGACTCTGCTAGCTGGATGCAGTCTTGTCACACATATCATAACGGCACACACAAGAACATGCTGCATGGTGAGAGCCCTAATGTGGCCCATGCCTGCCTTGTCACCTCCCATGTCAAGTCCCTCCTACATTGTCCATTCCTGCACTGCCCACAGGCCAGGTGTCCTCCCACACCAGACTTCATTTGGGCCTCCCATTTTCTGCATATAATGCCATGTCCCCCATTCACAACTGCCCACACTCCTGGCTCTAGACCTAGGGTGACTTCTTCCATAACCCTGATCCTCTATCAAACAGAGCCAGAGGCCGTGGAGCGGGGCCCCTGAGACTGTGAGTAGCTGTGGGCCGACTGCCAGCTGCCTTACACCGCCTGGGGGCCAGGCCAGCCGTGCGGGAGCATTGGGGACAGCTAGGGCTCTCCAGGCATGGTTCCCTGTCCTCTCACCCTGGGGCCTGTGGCCTCAACCCTTCATTCTTAACCTTGTCCAGGTCCTTTCTCCAAGATAAGTCCCCATCAGTGCAGCGCTCTTCAGTGTACATAGGACTCAGTGTAGAAACTAAGCATTCAGTCATAGAGAACCTAAAGCTTGAATCGGGTTCTGATCCTCATCTCCCTCTTTCCAAATCTGGAAGTCAAGGGCTATCAGAGTATCCTTGTTGCTGCCTAATATTAAAGTGCCAAGGTGGATAAGACAGGCTTGTAGGGTGCCCTCTACAGCCTCCCTGGCTGGTTGCCCAACTTTCCTTTGCACAGTCCTGGGAGAAGGGAGCTCATCCACCCCTCCTTTGGGGCTGCCCTACTCCTAGAGGGTTACTTCTGTCGAAGAGAAGACTCTTGCTCAGCTTCAGCTCAGGATCTGCCTCCATGAGCTCCTGCAGGTCTCACAGAGCGTAGATATCCTGTGGAGACGTGCAGCAGACACGATGCTGGGCCAGCGTGCTGGTCTGAGCTTTCATTGCTGCACCGACAGTGTTAGTATCTCCCTTCTGCCTGTTGCATCTCCCGAGGGCATCTGGCCAGTCCTGGCTGACTGGAAACAGCAGAGCAGATGGAGCAGGACCGTCACCTCCTTCTCTGCATGATACACATCTGTTCCTGCAGCCTCGCCTCCTGGGGGTACCTCCTCTTCTCTTGGCCTCTCTGTGACCACATTTGCATTTCTAAGCCTCTCTGTCCCTTCAGTCAGTCCACCAAGGTTCTGGGATGTTATCTCCTTGGTTCTGACTTGGTTTACTCCTTACTTAACCCTGGTTCTTTCCCCCTCCCTCCCAGCCCACAGCCTGTTTTCCATTTCTTCACCCTGTTTGCTCCACATCCTTCCCCTGTCACGCCCAAAGCCTTGTGTTCTCCTCACCAGCAGCCTGATCTCCTTTACGGCCCATCCCAGTCTGCTGTTCTGCTCTGGTTCCTCCCAGTCTGCAGGCTCAATTCTTCAGTGCTCCTGACGGGGCTTCTTCCTTGCGCACAGGGCTCTTCCTCACTGGTTCTCTGATAGACTCTGCTAGCCTGAGGTTTACCTACGTCCTCCAAACTTGGTACTGGCCCCAGAGAAACAACTTATCTCTCCAAGAGTAACTTCTGTGTTCTCCTTCTCATTCCAGAGATAAACCTCCCACTCCATTTTTGTGTATGTGCCGACTCCTTTCCATTCCCAAGACCCCACAACCACCCAAGCCTCCACCTCCAGCCCCCAGTAAATCTTTCTGTCTCGCTTTGCGCAGGCAGATGCTCCTTAAAATCAGCGCGTTTATGTCTTTTTTTTTTTTTTGTCTTTTTCCTTTTTATCAGTACTGGGAACCGAACTCACGACTACCTGCTTGCAAGGCAGGCACTCATGCCGCTGAGCTAAATCCCTAGCCCGGGTAATATGTCATTTTGCCCACCTCCCAAACTCCTTCCCCAGCCAAACTGATAAAAGTAGTCCCACTTCTTTGTTCTCCTTTGAGAGACCGTGTACCCCCTGCCCCAAGAAGCTCTCCCATGCCCGAATTAAAGGCCTCCTCCTTTGTCTCCTTATCTCTCAATATCTCTGCACCGCTTCAGATTGAGTGCCCAAAATACTCGGTCACTCTCCACACTGCTTTCGCACTGTGTGTGTTTTCTCCACACTGTGTTTCTCCCATACCCATGACTTTATCTCCCTTCGCACTGTCCAGCTTCCTCCTGGCCTGCAGCACAGGATGAATGTGAGATCAGGTACTACCCACAGTGGACAGGGGGCTCTCTCCTCAGGCCCTTGGTCTTTAGGAACCCCCTGAAGAGTCCCTGTTCAGGCCCTCCTAAACCACAGCTCCTATGATAGCGTAGAAGTCCCCTCATGTCTCCACAGAGCCCATCCTTTTGTGATAACAGGCAAGTTTAGAAACTCCCAGGACTTGCCAGCTCCCCTAGCCATGCCCTCGTGTCCTCCTTGCTTCTACTGTGGTACCATGCCTGGGGCGACTGGGGGCAGTGGTGGGGAACAAGATGAAGGTGGCTCAGTCTTGGACCCCCAGCTTTGGTTGTAAGTGTATCTCCCTCCCCTGCATCTCTCCTGATGCCAGTGCTGGCTTCAGGGGTGCCTGATAACAGGAAGCCTGCGAGCAAATGGCCCTCAGAGCAGGAGGAAGATTCCAACCAACGGCCTCTTCCCTGGGGGCCATTGCTCCCATTCCTCTGCCTTCAAGCCAGCCTGCTCCTTCTAAGCCCAGACCCATGTGCAGAGGTGGGGCCCGCGGGCATCCTGTCAGTGACCTGGTGCCCCTCCCCAGCACATTGGTCTCTTGCTTCGTGTTTCTAGGCCATTGGGATGGTCTCCCTCTGGTCTGCTGAACAGCAGTGTGCTTCAGCTTGAGTTGTCAGCCTTGTCATGGAACCAAAGAGCTAGTAACAGCTGGCCTCAAGCCTTCTGCTCACACGGTCAACCCTGGAGCGTGGGTGGGACTGGGGGAGGGGAGAAGAGTGAATAATTGAGACAATGTAGACACAAGCAGCCGCCTGAAGCACTCAGATGGCACCTACCCGTTCCAGCTGGGTGCCGGAGGATACCAGGCAGCTTTTCCCTCCGTGCACCATCTGACCCAAGCTAATGCTATGAGTTGATTCTCCAGTTTTCAGGGCAGCAGGCTGGGGCTGGGATTCTCTGTGCTGGACATCCCAGCTGGGCTGGCTGCATCGGGGACTGAGGGTTGACTGTCTGATGCTGCTGCAGGGATGGAGGCTGGGGCTCAGGGCTGGGCCAGGAGGGCTATGTCAGGGAGGCTTCCCGGAGGAGGTGCCTTATGCTGGGGTCAGAGGGACTGAGGAGCAGAAGAAGGCAGTGGGAGAACTGCCTCTGTCCCTGGCCTGAATGACGAAAGTGCTCTCTTCTCCTCTTCCTATCCCAGAGTCACCGGCCTGAGAGGGAATGGCCTGTCAAGAGTCTCAAAGTCTACCTGGGCATAAAGAAGAAACTCCGGCCACCCACCTGGTGAGCCAAAACTCGGGAAGCAGACCTGCAGCTGGAACCTTCGGGGCTCACAGTTAATGGGGAGACACAGCCAGGCCTTTGAACTTGACACGGCTCTCTGCAGTAGCTCTGAAGTTGCGGTTCCCTAGAGCAGCAGCGTCACCTGCATGCACTTCAGATCACAAATTCACAGGCACCATCCTGTGAATGGGCCTCCTGAGTCCTGGATTCTGGGGGACCGGCCCAGACCAGGTGTTAATTAGTTAACAAGATGTCCTCGGAGCACTGATTGCTCATGTTTGAGAACCACTAGGGTCTTTCTGTGCCTCTGCCCCCATATCTGTGTAATAGGGACAGTAAGTCATACATCTGTTTCCAAAGGTGACTAAAAATTTCCACATGTTTGGAAGGTGCCTTGTACCACTCTTCCCAATTACACATCCAAGTCACTAATCTTGGTTTTCTGACTCTCTCCTAGGCTGCTATCAGTGCCTGGCTATCTCTGGGTCTTTGGCAGGCCTGGGTTGTAATCTTGGCACATGTTTGTTTTTTCCTGCATCTCTCTCTTCTTCCCTTGCTTTCTTTCTTTCTTTAGTTGTGTGTGTGTGTGTGTGTGTGTGTGTGTGTGTGTGTGTGTGTTTCTGGGCATGGAACCCAAGTCCTTGTACATGCCAGGCAAGAACTCTACCACTGAGCAAATCCCCAGTCCAGGACTAGGGTGGGAGGTGGGGATCCAAAGTCCTGGGCAGTGGTCGAGGCTGCTGAGGCCTCCAGCTTTGCCCTGAGTCTGTCCTGGGAACTGGTGCAGGATGATGAGTGACCACACCCCTTTGCCCCTCCTCTGCAGCTGGGGCTTCACGGTGGTACATGAGACAGAGAAACATGAGAAGCAGCAGTGGTGAGTGAGGGCCCTATCATGAGACCCAGGCTGGAGGGGTAGCAGCATAGGCCCCTTGACTGGGTCACCCCTCCCTGCCCAGCCATACCCCACTGGGAGACCCTGGACTGGGAAGATCGGCAGGGTGCGTCCTCCTCAGCCAGGCCTTTATAGGGCCCGACCTCTGCCCTCCCTGCAGGTACCTTTGCTGTGACACACAGATGGAGCTTCGGGAGTGGTTTGCCACTTTCCTCTTTGTGCAGGTACCAATGCTGGGGCCGTGGGGTGGGCGGGGTCCTGGAGGCCCCACTGTGGAGAGTAGATGTGCCTGCTTCAGTGTCTAGGCTGTTGGTTGCTTTGAGGAGGCTTTGAGTTGCTTTTAATTCGCTTGCCTGTGTGTTCAGTGAGCATCCCTTCCCAGTGCCTCTGTGGCCGAGGCTTGCTCTGTATAGGAACAGAGAGCCAGAAGTGCCCTGTTATACTCTAACCCCTTAGGAGGGGTTAGGAGCCCTAACCTGATGGCCTGAACTGGGAGCAGGATGGCAGCAGAGTGCGATGGGAGCTGAGTACCTGAGCTTGGAGAGCTCACCAGGAGGGAAAGGCTTGCAGGCAGAAGGACCAGTGTGTGCCCAGGCCTGGAGATGCAGAAGACAAGTACCAGGGGCCAGTGTGTACACACACACACACACACACACACACACACACACACACGAAGGAAGAAAGAAAGGCTGAACACAGGAAACTTAACTTGACATCACAGAGCTCACTGCGGCTGGGGTGTGCCGGACAGAAGGAACGAAAGCAGAAAGCCTGCACATGAGGAGAGCAGTGACCTGGTTCTATTATGGCCTAGACAGGAACAGGGTAGTGATGGCCCTTGATCCAGAGCAAGGCCAGAGGCTGGTTCGACTTAGAACTGATGGGTTAGAACAAAGAGTTGCACTGGAGAGCTCAGAAGTACTTAAGCAAAAGAGAGCCTTGGGTTTTCTTTTCCTATATCTATATTGTTTGTGACCCTGAGTTTCCTGGTAGTCAAAGCCTAAAGGGAAACAGAGTGGTTTTGGAGATGGTAGTTCCTGGTAGGAGGAACCTTAGCCGTGTTCCTCTTAAAGAAATGTTTTCTTGGTGCTGCATTCTTGGAGAGGTTTGTGGATCTGGAGATGGGAGTTGTTGAGTAACATAACAGGCTGTATTTTGCCAAGGATGCAGTCATCTGCTTACAGCTGCTTCTCATATCGGCTGGGATCAAAGCTGAGAGGGTGTCACCTCTGATCTTAGCTGGAGGCTTTTCTGGGAAGGGTAGGTGGATCCAGGGCTGTGTCTGGGTGAGCTGAGGCGTGATCCAGCCCTGTCTCCCTTCCTCCCCAGCACGACGGCCTGGTGTGGCCCTCAGAGCCCTCGCGTGTGTCCCGGGTAGTGCCTGAGGTACGGCTGGGCAGTGTGTCGCTGATCCCCCTGCGTGGCAGTGAAAATGAAATGCGCCGAAGCGTGGCGGCCTTTACTTCAGACCAGCTTTCTGTGAGTGGCTGTCATCCCCTGGGGCAAAGGGCCGGGGACCCGGGCTCCCACCCTGCGCCTCCGAGCTCCGAGTACCCTGCAGCCAGTCCCCATCCGTGGTAGCTTCACAGAGCTTCTCCTTGATCCTGGTGCCCCCGCTCCTGAAGCCTCTGTGACTACACTCTACTGCCGGTGGCCCTCTGGCCATCACAGAGCTAACGGAAGCTGGGCTTCTGGCATCCTTACAGGTCCTCCGCAATGTCTGAGTGCTGGATTCAGCCTGGCTGTGCGATTCTGCTGCCGTGACCGTGACCGTGACCGTGACCTGACTGTGACTGGGAAGCATTCCTGTTCAGACACCCTCATGCTCTGCATGCCTGGCATGAGCCAGCAGGGGCCACATGAGGAAGCCGCACCCCATATCCCACATCCTGACTGTAGCTTTGGGCTCTCTGGCTGGGATGGGAGCAGCAGGGCAGCCCCTCCTGGTAGTCCAGGTGCATGGCCCACCTGGGCCAGCCCGCTCACCCCAGGGTCACTCGCCCTGAGTTTGTGGGCTTGGGGAGATGGGCACAAGCTCTGGGGGACATCATTTTTCCAGAGGCTGGAGGCCTTGGGGCCCCGCTGGAAGGGAGCCTCCCCACACCCCGCCACAAATGCCAGAGCAGCAAAAGGCAGGGGCTGGAAAGGAGCACTCAGCAGAGTGGGGAGGGAGCTCTTTGGGACTGAGAGCTGGACTATGGGGACTTCAGGCCCCTTCCAGCCTGGGCTGGCCAGGAGGGCCCAGGCTGCCTGATACCCCTACCCCACTTTGGGGGTCCTTTTGATAATATAAATATATCTGTGTATTTTACCCTGTAGTGCTGAGGCCTGTGACTGGTTGAGGGCACTGGGTATCCTGGGTTGGTTGGAAAGCCCAGAGGTGAAGGCCTAGTACCCTAAAGCTGGAGCCTGAATTCTTTTCTCACCTGGACTGTTCAGATAATCTCCCCTGCCCCAGGCAGAGCCTCAGCCTGGCTCAATGCCATCCCCATTGTACCACTGGGCAGCCAGGCTGGGGAGTGCCTGATGCAGCCCAGGACAGACCTCAGCTGGGCCCAAGACCCTGTCCCTGCTGCAGTCTGAGCCAGGCCCTGGGTGTCAGTGACTCAGAACAGCTCCATCAGCAGCCTCTGCTGGAAACACAAGACCACAGATTCACAGAAGCTTCAGGAAAGAGGGCTTCAGGTTACCCTTGGTCCCTGAGCACAGCCCTCCAGAGGTGGGATGGGCCTCGTACCAGGGACAAGCAGACCAAGGCCTTGAGCAATGGGAGAGATAATGGGCTTTTTAGAGACAGAGGGACTCTCCGGACACCACATTCCCACCTCCTACAGCATCATTACCATCTGGTCCTCAGAGCCCCACTGGGCAGATCCACATGACTCTGACTCCTGTGACCCAGCCCAGTGGGGAGGCCTGGGTGTGGTGACATCAGGGATCTGGACTCCAGGTTCCTTGTCGTCTTTCAGGAAGGGGAGCTATGTGCCAGGGAACTGGCACAGGTTCCTTGAATCCTTCTGCCCTGTTTCACAGGTTGGGCCTAAGTCCTTTGAGTCTCCCAACTTGTCTTGCCCTGGATGGGCTGCTCAGGCCTGACTAGTGGCGCAGATGCCTGACTGTTTCATCTCTACCATGACAAGGTGCGTGGACCCCTTGTCCAAGTGCTCAGGAGTTGGGATTCTTCCCTGGATCTGACCTTGTGGTGCCCATTTAACCTGAGGTCCAAAGAGTGAGTGGAACTGGAAGTGCCTGCCTGCTAAGCTGACTCCTGGAGAAGGAGCTGGCTGCATCGGCTACATTGGCCACTGGGGGGCAGCCACGCACCACTCAGCCTTGCTGCCGGTGTGGTCGCCCTGGCTCAGGCTTTGCTGTGCTGGAAGATGGAGCAAGATCCAGCCCTACTCCTGGCTCAAGACTTGGGATGTTCTGGAAGGAAGCCGAATACGAGAATGTGTGTGTGGCTCCTGGGCTCCAGGATCTGGGAGGAGGAGGGAGCAGCCATTTACCAAGAGCCTAATGAGTCAGAGCCATTGCTTCTTGCGCTGTCTACCCTCGGAGGAGAGGAAGGTGTCTGTCCCAGGACGGTATGGCTTTTCTGAGTTAGGCCTGAGGACTTTCCCTGCCACTTTGGAGGGGTCTCCTGTTCCTTTTCTGATTCCAATACTGTGTTTCCCTGTCACAGGAGGCCCAGGGACCACAGTGTTGGAGACTTTGCTAGTCCTTGTCAAAAGGACTCCTAAAAACTGGGCCCTGGGGGGCCTCTGAGGGGTTTGTGCATGTATTACTTGGGGTTTGGCGGTAGGGAGGGATGAGAAGCCCAGAGCTCAGCTTAGGGAGGAGTGTGACTGAGGGTAAAGGTTGGAGGAGGAGATCAGGGCTCTGAGGGTCAGGCAAGGTCAGACCTAATCCCAGGGGATCCACAGGGAGCCCTGGCTCTGAGGGCTCAGGAGTGAAGAGGAGGCCGAGGCAGGGAAAGGTATGAGGTGCTTGGAGAGTTGAGTTGTCTGCTTTCTCCCTTCTTCCTTCTTCAAGCTCAGCCTTCTACCTTGCAAAGTGCCTGGCAACTAGGCCTAAGGAGCCTTTGGGCCTCAAGAGACCCTTGGGCTCACAGGACATGAGTGAGCGAGGGGAGGAGAGGGACTAGGCCCTCCCTCCACTCCACTCCCCCTGAGCATAGGGATGAAGTTGGGCTGGAGATGAATCCTTCTCTGGCCCTAGGCTCGAGTCACCCCTAGCCCTCTGCTCACAACCTACTGCCTTTAGGTAGCACGGTGTGGGTGACGACTCTCCGATTCTCCAGCTCTGTGGCTTTGGTCAGATGACTTAGATCTCTAATTCTTGGTGTTCTCATGTGTGCTTTGGAGATATTAATAGTAGCTGCCTCCTAGTGGGTTCTGTGGAGGATTAAATGAGCTGATCAGTGTGAAGCACCTAGCACTGTCCCTTACTAATCCTCTTTCGGAATATGTCTGGGGAGACTTCATGACACCCAGAGTTCTTCCCGGGGCCAGTGTGTTTTCATTCAGCCAGCAGGTACTGATAACCTATGGTATACAGGACACGCTGTGTGTGTGTGCGATGGAGCCCTCCTGGGGCGGGGAGATACTTACTGATGGAGGAAGCCTCCATGGAAGACTGGAGCCTAAGACTGGCATTGTCACTGTAGGTGGAGCTGAGATGGAGAGCCAGCTCCAGGGGAGGGCGTGGTGTAACCACAGGCAAGGCCATGTGACTTGCAGTGGGGCCTGTTGTGGCTGGAGCCCAGTACCCCAGGGGCACCCCAGGGCCTTTCCTCTGCCTTGGCCCTGCCTCTGAAATATGACCACAACTCAGTCAGATGGGCCCCTTGGGCTCTTCCCCCCACTGGAAAAAGCATAATTCCTGTTCACTTAGCCAGCTCTGTGACCTAAGTGACCTTGCTCTGGGGACTCTCCCTCTACCATTCACACAGGTTCAACTGGCCAGAACCTCCCCATCTCTCCTCCAGTGATTACTGCCTTTAGGAAGCTCTTGTGGACTGCCTTTCCAGTACAGTGTGAAGTGCACGCTTCAGGGGTGTGTGTGCATGGGCACTTGTGTGCGGGGTGGGCCGCTTGCACCCGGTGAGGAACTGGCTCTGGAGGAGCTGTAAGGAGCAGTGGCTGGTCAGCCCAGGCTGGCCTAGCCCTGGCCTGTACCCTCTCCTGTGCCACATCAAGCTGTGGAAATTTCCGCACTTTCTCTGCCCTGGTTACAGCTCCTGCTGCTGTATTTATCACCCTGGAGACACAGTGACACAGGCACACACATGCCACACATACATACTCATGCTCTGCATGCACGTGCCTGCACACCTCAGCCTGCACTTCCAGATTTGCAAGTACATCACACACACACACACACACACACACACACACACACACACACACACGGCACGTGGAGGAACACCCACACACGAGTGCTGTCTAGGAAAATTGCTCCCCTACCTCCTGTTGCTGTTCCCTACCCTGCTCTGTCCGCCCACCACCACCCACCTCCAAACACAGAGACTAAAGAGAGGGGCTGGACTGGCGCCCCCATCAGCTGGGAGCCGCTTCCCCTTTGGTACCTATAGCGTGTGCTCCCTCCTCAGCCCTCCCTACCTTCCCCTTTACCACTTTTCTGCACCTCCTGTCCTCCCTCCACACAAGTCACTCAGTCTTTTTTGTTGTTGTTGTTACTCTTTGATGATAAAGTGGAAACTGTCTTTTCTCCCTGCCCTGTCTTCTGAGGGTCTCAGGCTGTGGATCTCACAGCCTGATGGAAGCAGGAGGACAGGACAGGCAAGGGGGTTGGGGGCCTGAATCTCAGCTCCTGTCACTTTGTCCCTCCTGAATGAGAGGAGGCACTGTGTGGCTGGCACCATGGAGACCAGTGTCATGGTAACAAAGTCCATAGTCTGGGTGGGCACAGCCTATCTCCTGCCAGAAGGCCTGGAGAAGGTGGGCCTTGTGCTGGTGCCCACCACCGGCTGCTACCCCCAGAACACTCACATAGAGCACCTCATTCCATCCTCTGGTGCTGCATGCCAATAACCCTAGGTGGACAGAAGCCCTCTCGTAAAGGAACACCACACTCGGGGCCCAAGAAGCAGGGCTTGCCAGTCATGCAGCACCCAAGCGCGGATGAAGTGAGTTTGGCTCAGTGGCCAAGCTCTCACTTCCAGACTTCAGTGCTCTTCTCTGGTGACCTGTCTTCTGCCCAGCTCAGCAATCACGGGGGACTGAGGAGTCAGTCTGTGATTCCTACACATGGGATGTCTCCACCACGTCCTTGATGATGGCAGCAATGATGGTGCAAGTGATAGTGCTGATAAGGCGAGACAGAGCACTCACCACCTACTGTGCTAAGGCTTTGTGTGTGTCATTTCACCTCCTTCTTCGGAGACTTACAAGGAAGATGGCCAGTAAGTGGCTGGTCAGACCAGCATCACAGGTCCTTCCCAGCAGGGCAGGCAGGCCCAGCGGGTGCTCTTTTCTTGAGTGGTGAGCTCTCTTCACTTCTATTTTTCTTGCTGGAGAGAGTTTGTGGGGGGAAGATCTGGGGCATAATCTGGGTCTAACCTGAGGGTTTCTAGAAACCAGAGGTTTTTCTAAGATAGGAAACAGGGCCTTCCTCTTGTGATTGGACCCAGGGAAACTTTCTCGCAGAGCAGCAATGTAGAGAACAGCTACCCATCCCCAGGTCCTTATAGTGTCAGGTCTGCTCCCCAGGCTGGGGGACTAGGGGTGGAGGGGAGACCTCTGCTCCTCAATGTGCCTCCCAACCTTGGTGGAGTCATCACATTGCAGCTGACTTATGTAATCATTCAAATATAGCAGCTGCCTTTATCCCACTGAGTCACACCCCCTCCATCCCCTTTCAGGTGCAGGGAAAGGGGAGAAGAGGTAATCAGGGCTGAGTAGGAGGCTCAGGGCCTCCCAGCAAGGAGGATCCCAGTGTGCGGGGCTGGAGGGCAGTGGTGAGAAGGCTGGGCCTTGGCCCCTGAGGAGAGCAAAACGTTCCAGAATATGAAACTACAAGGGTCGCCTCTGCCCTGACCCATCCCTACCGAAATGTGTGTGGGTTCCCTCCCTGGTGTCATAGCCTTTCTTTCCAGGGTCTCCGTCTAGGGATGCAAGTGAGGGAGAAGGAGAAAGTTGTGAAGAAAGAAGTTTGAGTTGTTCTAGGGCCAGCCCTGTCCTTTACTCACTTTGTGATCTGGCACATAACTGCCCTCAGTTTCCCTGTCTGTGCGATGAGGGAATGAGCCCTCCTGGCGCTAGCATCGTCTGCTCTCTCATTTGTATTCCT